CCTTTATAATAAGCCAGTATATGTAAGTATTTCCCTGAGTTCTGTGAGCCATTCCAGCAAATGACTGAACTTGATGAGGGAGTCATGGGAAATGCCAATTTATAGACTCTCCATCAGAAATACTGGATGCCTGGACTTGTGATTGGCATCCGAAGTGGGGAAAATCTTGTGAGACTGAGCCTTTAACTGTGGGATATTAGTCTGCCTCTGGATAGTGTCAGAATTGAATTAAATTATGAGATACCTAGCTTGTTTTGGAGAACAGGTTGATGTGAGGCAAAACCCTACACATCTGGTCACAGATGTGTTCTGTGTTGAATGAATGCGTGTCGTAGGACACATATTTTTTCCCCTAGATCACAGCATATGATTGCTTAACATCACTTCTTGCATAGACTAAGGGCACACAGAAGACAAAGGTTACTTATGTTTTTCTCAGATGTATTAACAAATAGTAACCACAGAGGAAAAAGGAAAATGATTTTGCTCTGGATTTAAACAGTAGGGCCAAATAAGTAATTTATGGGGTAGAAAAGCAATTCTTGGTCTAATAATGTTATTATTCATAAATGACCAACAACTCACTAGTCTACAAAATTTTGCTAATGTACTCTATTCTACTAAGTTCTCAATATTGTTTAGGCAATTTGGATGCCCATTGTGGATCCCTGGCTAATTTACAAGTGTAGTAAACAAAATCCTACATTCAAAACCAGAGGAGTTTAAGCTCCTAAAAAGTTCATAATAAAAATACTTCCTTTTTATTTTTTAAATCTGTTACAGGAACTATTATTTAGAAAATTAATGACTCCTCTGTAATGCAACTCTCTAATAATGTTTGGCCATTCAGGCTTTGCTAGGAAATGGAGTAAGACCACAGAGTAATGGGTAAGAATGATAATCTATCTGTAAGCAATAGTATAGTTGGGCCAGGCCTTTACTGAATAATATTAATTTATGATGTTGTTGTTGTCTCTCTCTGGTGACAACAAACTTTCAACTTTTCAAACTTTTCTGATCACAGCCCACAATAAAAACTACATCATATGTTATTACCCAGTGTGAAAACACACACACACACAGACACACACACACATACAACTAAATAAAAATTTCATGAAACAATACTTTACTATTTGGGATGTACTCTGATCAATATATTGTTTTCTATTGTTCTCTTTTATTCTATTAAGTAAAATACCCTAAAAGCTACTACATTAATTTTATGACCCGCTAATGGGTAGTGAGTGACTCTCAGCTGCTCTAGGAGAAAACCTAGGCTGCAGTTTCCGAAATACATAAATGCAGTCATCGTCTTCCTACAGTGGAACATTCTCTGCTGGTGGGGTAGGATGGGATGCAAGGTATGGTTTAACCAAGTAATGTTTCCTTGGAGTTCAACATGCTTAATATTTAAACTGGGAATTTTCATCCTTTAAAATTTGGGGCAGGGTTTCATGATGGCACCCCCTTAGTCAATTAAATTAAGTGCTACTTCCTTGCTTAGAATACATTTTTATGCATGCAATACAGCACGTTTGAAATATTTTAAAAACTTTTTCTTAAAAAGCAATATATATTTAGTAAACAAAAATGCAAACAAATATATAAAATCTAAAACCCAAGAGATAATCACGGTAACATATGTTATTTTGTTTATATATCTGTCCTACACACAGACACACTTAAAAATCACACACACACAATTTGCATTCCCATGACCAAGAGATAATTGTGGTAACATTTTATGCGTCATTTTGTTTCGATATTTTTCCTATACACAGACAAACTTAAAATAATACACATACAATTTGGATTTTACATGCAGATATGTCTTCCTCCAACTATTATAAACATCAAAAGGTATCTTAAAATATTTTGTAGGCTGGAGAATATTATAAAATGAGATAATTTATTATATCTCTATTTATACACATTTAGATTTTGTTCAAGTTTGTGAGTGTTTTTTATTTTTGTTTACGGTGTTCTGCCATGAAAATTTATGCATTCCTTTGATTTATGCACTCAACTGCATTTATTTTTACCTTAGATATTTTTTCTTTTCCTTTTATGCCTACAAATTCCCTCCTAATTTCTACTCCAATCTAGAGACAGGTAAATATTAGATATAGTAAGAATAAATCCAATGTTCCCTTACTGTTTTGGGGTAGATTTTTAAAAATCATGCTAAGTAAATATTGTTCCATTCACTTAAAAAAATAGTAACGGGTAGTGAATATTACTGAATGGAGTTCAATACCAGGTGCCAACGCCTAGTTTGCAGTATAAGTTTGGTGAAAATTTTGTTGAATGAATCAACAATCATATTTTTTTTTGTTTGTTTTTGAGATGGAGTTTTGCTCTTGTCACCCACCTGGAGTGCAATGGCATGATCTCAGCTTACTGCAACCTCCGCCTTCTGGTTCAAGTGAACCCTCAGCCTCCCGAAGTAGCTGGGACTACAGGCATGCGCCACCACCCCTGGTTAATTTTTTTTGTATTTTTAGTAGAGACGGGGTTTCACCATTTTGGCCAGGCTGGTCTCAAACTCCTGACCTCAGGTGATCTGCCCACCTTGGCCTCCCAAAGTACTGGAATTACAGGCATGGGCCACTGAACCGAGCCCATCTTTTTAAAACAATGAAAAAGAACTGAAAACTAGTCAACAGTTATAGAAATGTACAAAGTGGAAAGTGAATCTCTTGAAATTGTGTTCCTCAAGATAAATGTTAATTTAATGTTTATCCTTCCAGATTTTTTTCTATGAAGTGAGAATTATTTTATTTTATTATTTATTTATTTACTTTTTTCGAGACAGTCTTACTCCTTCACCAAGGCTGGAGTGCAGTGGTGTGATCTCGGTTCACTGCAACCTCTACCTCCCGGGTCCAAGCGATTCTCATGCCTCAGTCTCCTGAGTAGCTGGAATCACAGGCGACCGCCACCACGCACAACTTTTGTATTTTTAGTGGCAATGGGGCTTTGCCATGTTGGCCAGGCTGGTCTTGAACTCCTGACCTCAAGTGAACCACCTGCCTTGGCCTCCCAAAGTGGTGGGATTACAGGCATAAGCACCTGGCCTGAATTATTCATTTAACTGCACACAAATATATGTAAATAGATGTTTACTGTTGTACTGTTGTATTATATAGTAAAACAAAAAATAGAGGATTGGCTAGAGTAGCTATTGTATCTTTATACAAAATAGCCCCCAAAGAAATCAGGATTATCTGTATGAACAGACATGGAGAGATGTACACAATATATTATTATATGAAAAAAAAAGAAAAAGAAAGTATTTTAAAAATTGATGCATTGCTATAACAATTAAGAGATTTTCCCATTTTAAACCATCAGTGCATTCCTTACATAATCATCTACTTGATTATGTTAAGTAGGCAATTCTTTAAAAATACAGACAAATTTAAGTTGTTAGTTTTTAGATAGGATTTTCACTGATATCCCACCAGTGAACTTAGTTTTTGGTTTTGAGTATTCTGGCTCTACCCGAGTTATACTAGCTTCATGAAATGCAATAAATAACTTCATCTTGTTGTCCTGTATTCTGGAACATCTTACCTAGCACTGAAATCATCTGCATCTTCAAAGTCTAAAAGAATTAACTGATAAAACCAGCTGGTCCCAGAGCCTTTTTTGTAAAGGTTTAATATGTACATGAATTAAAAACATAAAGAAGTAATTTGTTCAAATTATCAATATCCTTATTTATCTTGAACTACAGTGACTGATAGTGGTATATTAAAGTATAATTGTGGCCGGGCGCGGTGGCTCACGCCTGTAATCCCAGCACTTTGGGAGGCTGAGGTGGGTGGATCACGAGGTCAGGAGATCGAGATCATCCTGGCTAACACAGGTGAAACCTCATCTCTACTAAAAATACAAAAAATTAGCCAGGCGTAGTGGTGGGCATCTGTGGTCCCAGCTGCTCGGGAAGCTGACGGAGGAGAATGGCATGAACCCAGGAGGCGGAGCTTGCAGTGAGCCGAGATTGTGCCACTGCACTCCAGCCTGGGCGACAGAGCGAGACTGCGTCTCAAAAAAAAAAAAAAAAAAAGTGTAATTGTGTTTGTCAATTTCTCCTTGAATATTAAAAAAAAAATTGTTATATGGAATGTTTCTGTGCTGAAGCAAGCAGTACAACTGAGACTCTTAAATGTGTGCAATTAGCTAAAAAAGTAAACTCACTCTGGGGTATATTTGATTTAGTAAGGCCATTACATAACATGGCAATGTTCATATAATGAGTTCTTCCTTTTTTTTTGGCCAAAAAAATAGAGGGGTGACAGCAACTCTGCTTATACTTCTTCATGGTTAAAACTCTAGGCATCTTAAAAGAAGCATATTCAGATTCCTTTTCTTATTTAGATAACTAAAATTATCACAGTTGTATTTACTGTAATTTGGATCTAACCTCAGTCAGCCAGCCATCTGTTAAAAGCAGACATCCTTTGCTCAATCTTATTTCTTTTTTGTCTTAACTGCATTTTCCTTTATTATTTATTTAAATGTATAACCAGATTTTTTCTTTATAACAATTTATCAAAAAAAACCTCTCTCTACATATTGCAGCTTCTATTCTACATATAAAAAAACCAGTAGTAGTTTATATTATAGTATTAATTGGATTCTTAATTTTTACTTCTAAGATGAACTTAATTAACTAATTTGCACTTCACTCTCTGACCAAGAAAACACAAGTAATTTCACCCAATCTCTCTGCTACTTCAACTAAAAAATAAGGATAATGAGTTGGCTCCATTGTAATAGGGATCTATGAAGAATTGAAAGTGAATATTTTTTGTCATAAGAACCTTTTATAATCTACCAATGTAAGTCTATGGAAAGACTAAGTATAATGAAAGTGAAGATTTTTTTAAGGAGTGTGAAAACATAATTTTTTCCACCAGTTTACCTTGCCAATATATTGACTGCAGAAGTTTTTATACATTATGGACATACATTATTGTATCTGGTCTTACCTGATCCATTTTTCAGATACCCATTTGCATCAACAGTTGTATACATGATATAAGGTCCAGGTTGATTCACTCCAAAGGGCTGCAATAGAAAAAAAAATAGTTAAGGCTTGGAAAGTAAGTGAATTATTGGAAGTTTCAGGCAAATCTCTTTCAAAGCAAAAAATTCTTACACAGATCACAGTTACCTAGAGACCCCTTTCATAAACAGATAGCACATCAAAAGAAAGCCTGTTGTTTCCTAGGATCTTAGTGTTAAACAATAATACACAAACAAAAAGAAAAACTGATTAGTAGAAAATTCTTAAGACTTTAAATGATTTAATAGTTGCATTTATTTAGTTCATTATTTAACTAGGTATTTCTAAGATCAAATATTCTGTTGAATATAGCATTGCTTTTTCCCTCCAGGGAGGGATTGGACATGGTTTACATTTTCCCACTAAAATACCAACATAAATAAAATCCATCCACAATAATTACAATAGAATAAAAAATACTGATGATTAGTTCTACCACATTTAAACTCCTGCACATTTAGAGAATACATTATTTTTCATTTAAGAAAAATCTGATGGATTGACAATGCCTCGATTACAATGGTGAGATTTATCTCTATTTCCTATTTCTGGAACATTCCTCAAACCTTGAATAAAATGACATACTCCTTCTCTTTAGAAACCAAGGCTAATTAAATAGAACATAAAGAAACCAAGGATTGCAATGGACATCCTAAGATGACAGAATGTTTAAGAAATGCTTTAAGTTCTTTTGAATATTTTTCACAGCATCAAAATTCTACTGATCTTCCCAGAAAAGTACAGAAAAGTTAATAATGACATTTAGATAGGTTACTGATGCTTTAAAAATGATTTTTCTCTAGGATGATAAGAAGTAATATGATTTCATCAACATCACAATTGCCTGACTGATATTTTAAGATCTTTAGAAGTCCATATGCTTCCAATGGCTATGAGAAAATAGGTTGCTATAAGGATGGAATTACTCATAAGATATTACTAATTGATTAGATGATTCATGAACAAATCACACAAATATGCAAAATAAACTTATTAAGAAACATTTTTATGTGGAAAGATGAATATTACACTTTGTACTACACACTACTTTCATGACAGAATTAGCAAAATGTATCTACATTCTTATTTTGCAGATGGGCAAGGAAAAGCATTGTTCTCTCTCCTACGTGTATTCAGTTAAAAAAAAATCAGGTCAGCATGTGTCTGATAGAGTCCTAAAGCTGAAGTTCACCTATCATCATGAACCAGTCATTCTGATATTTGAAGACAAGGTCTAGAGATCCTGATCCAGTTCCTCTACACAGTGGTTCTCAAAGCATGTTACAGGGAAACCTGGGGGTCCCAGAACACCTTCAGAAGGTCACATTAGGTAAAAACTATTTTCATAATAATATTAAGACATTATTTGCATTTTACACAGTGTTAACATTTGTATTAATAGAGCAAAAGCAAAGATGTGGGTAATTAGCAGTGGCACCAAACAACGGATATTCAGACTTGGGTATTTAGCTAACATTTTCTTGAAAATGGACAAAGTGAGTCTATCACTTTCAGAAAACCAAATGAAAATGATAAAATTTGAGCTTCTTAGTGAATATTGTAATTTTGAAAAACTTGCATCTGCCACTGTGAGCCTGATATCTTTCTAATACTTAAGAAACTTATGATGCAATCAGTGGTAATATTAACAAATATTATTTAAAAATATTGTACAATAAAATGTGTTAACATGAGGAAGATCTGCATAACTCAGTAAACCAAAATTTCCAAAATTACCAATGCATGATAGTACAAAACCATTCATGGGTGAAAGATCCATCTAAAGTGCAAGGTAGACAAATACATCTTAGTGTAACAGAGTAGTGTAGAATCACTTCTGGAATGGTTAGTAAGGACCTCAAAAAAATCTGCTCCTCAGTAAAAGCAATGAGAATACTGGCAGAAAGTTGTTGAAATCAACTTTTTCAGAACTTTGCAAAAATCCAAGGAGCACTGATTTAAGAAAAATGCTGAATTTTGGTAAGAACAATTACCTCTGTTGTGTTTTAAATTCCCTTATTTCCATGTCTCTCTCCCCAGCGCTGAAGTAGCCTTGAAAACCAACAGCTTTGCAACTAAGGTAGCTCTGAAAATGAAGAGCCTACCAGGTACTGGAGGGTGCAGAACAGGTTTAGAGCTCCCCAGATATCCATTCCCCGAGAAATGTCACTATATGACCTTTCCGGAAGCTCCCTGAAAAGCTCTATTCTCAGGGTGTGTCTTTTTTTAATGGACTGAGAGCTTGCTCTGTGTGAACAAGCTCCATCACTGTAAAGTTTCTTGAAAAGAATCATCAGCAATTGTTTAACATTGCAGTTGCCTGAGGCAGTGATTATCAGTGGGGGTCATTAATGAGAGGTTGACCAAATCTTAAAAGGAAAAACGGAAATGAGATATTCATAGGGGACTCTAAAAAGCTCTGACTTATTTCTGGGAATCTAGAAGTTCATGAACATATGCAGCACTATGTTTGTGCCCCAGAAAGATTGGAGAAGGGCCTGACCTCTCATTTAAGGAAATACCTGGCCATCACGGCTGGCCATTAAGCTGAGTGGCAACTTCAGTGGCCACACACAACAAAGAATGAAGACTGCAGTATTAGTCTGGGAAAGTTACTGAACAAACAACAGTAAGAGCAAAAACCACAAACCCAGGCAATGGGAGAAATCTGGGAAGATTTCTGGAGTTGATGTATAGTTAAAAATGTCCAGTTTTCAATAAAAAAAATTATGACATGCAAAGACACAGTATGGCTCATACATCGGGGAAAAAAAACAGTCAAAATAACTGCCTCCAAGGAAGCATAGATGTTAGATTTATTAGGTAAAGACTTTAAATCTGCTATAATAAACATGTTCACCAGTCTGGGCAATATGGGGAGGCCTTGTCTTCATGAAAAGTTACAAAAATTAGCTGGGCGTGGTGGCAAGTGTCTGTGGTCCCAGCTACTCAGGAGGCTGAGGTGGGAGGATTGCTTGAGCCTGGGAGGTTGAGGCTGTAGTGAGCCATGACTGCACCACTGCACTCTAGCCTGGGCAACAGAGTGAGACCCTGTCAAAAAAGAAGACTGTTCAAAGAATTAAAGGAAAGGAAATCATGTCTAAATAACTGAAGAAAATTATGAGAACACTGTCTCACCACAGTATCAATAAAGAGAAATCACAAAATAGAACAAAACTGAAATTCTACAGTACAATAACTGAAATGAAAAATTAACTAGCGAGGCTCAATAGAAGATTTAAACTGGCAGAAGAAATAATCAGCAAAATTGAAGACATGTCAATTCATATTATCTAGTCTGAAGGACAGAAAAAAAGGGAATAAAAAAATGAACAGAGCCTCTGAGACATATGGAGCACCATTAAGAATACCAACAATAATGGAAGTCCCAGAAGAGAGGAAAGAGGTAGAAATAATGTGAAGCAATAATGGCTAAAACCACCTAAATTTAATGCAATATTAACCTGTACACCCAAAAAGCTCAATGAACGCCAAGTAGGGTAAACTCAAAGAGATCCACGCCAAGATACATCACAATCAAACCCTACCTATCATATCATAGTTAACATTTTGAAAGCCAAACAGTGAATGTTGAAAACAGCAAGAGACAAGCAATTCATCATGGACAAGGTATCCTCAGAAGCATTAACAGCTCAGTTCTCATCAGAAACCCAGGAGGCTAAAAGGCAATAGGATGACAAATTCAAAGTGTTAAAAGAAAAAGACTATCAGTCAAGAAGTCTAAAATCCAGCAAAAATATCCTTCAAAAATGAACAGGAAATTAACATATTGCCAGATAAAACCAGAAAGAACTTGTTATTAGCACACCTGACTTGTAGGAAATACTAAAGGGAATTCTGGCTGATCTGAAAGGACACTAGACAGTAACTTGAATCCACACAAATAAATAAAGAGTACTGTTAAAGGTAACTGTAAATATTCTGTGAAGACAAAGTTGGGGAAAAAAAAAAGGAACTGTAGGTAAATATGGTATAAATACATTTTTGTCTGCAGCTCTTTTCTTCTACCTGATATAAAAAGACTATTGCTTGAAACAATAATTCTAAAACCATCTTGCTGGTCTCATAATGCTTGAAGATGTAATTTGTATGACAATAATAGTACAAATTGAGATATGTTAGAGCAAAGTTTTTATCAGCTACTAAAATTAAGCTGGAATTAATATGAACTAGAGTGTTTCTAAGTTACGATGTTAATTGTAATCCTGAGAGCAACTACTAACAAAATAACTTTTTTTGTGTGTGTGTGAGACCGAGTCTCGTTCTGTCACCCAGGCTGGAGTGCAGCAGCTCGACCTCGGCTCACTGCAACCTCCGTCTCCTGGATTCAAGCAATTCTTCTGCCTCAGCCTCCCGAGTAACTGAGACTACAGGTGTGTGAGACCATGCCCAGCGAATTTTTTTTTGCATTTTTGATAGAGATGGGATTTCACCATATTGGCCAGGCTGGTCTCGTACGCCCGACCTCCTGATCTGCCTGCCTCAGACTCCCAACCAAAGTGCTGGGATTACATGCATGAGCCACCGCACCCAGCCCAAAATAACTTTTTAAAAATAGAGTGAGGCCGGGTGCAGTCTCTACCAAAAATACAAAAATTAGCCGGGCATGGTGGTGCATGCCTGTAGTCCCAGCTACTCAGGAGGCTGAAGCAAGAGAATCACTTGAGCCCAGGAGATGGAGGTTGCAGCAAGCCTAGGTCATGCCACTGTACTCCAGCCTGGGCAACAGAGTGAGACTCCATCTCAAAATAAATAAACAATAAATAAATAAAATAAAATAAAATATAAAAATAGAGTGAAAGAAACAACAAAAGAATTAAAATCATATCCTAGAAAATCATATCCTAGAAAATGCATAGTATAAAAGGATGCAGTAATGGTGGTATTGAGGAACCAAGAAAATATGACATATAGAAAACAAAAAAATGACAGCCATAATCTGCCTTATCACTAATTTCATTTAATATAAATGAGTTAAATG